TGCACACCACATCCTCAATTACAAAATATAGAAAATTATATTTTAAAAAATATGTATCTTTATTTTCTTTTTTTTTAAAAAAAGAACAAAACTCCAAGTACTTACGAAGGGCAGCCAAGCCCACCCGAGAATACATGTGCATGCATCCATCCATACTCCTTTCGTTTAAAATAAATAAATTTAGTACGAAATGTGATATATTTTGGATTATTTAGTCCCATATACTATTTGGATCCAGGGACTAAAAATTGCTAAAGGCACGTGGACCAAGGGAGATGCTGCCACTTTAGTCCCTATAAGTACCTCCAAGAGGGACTAATAGATTTTAGTCCCAATATGCACTTTTAGTTTCTTTTAGTCACACCTGTTTGAATTTCTAGGGACTAAAAGAGATTAATGTGGTGTTTGAATCTCCTGAAGATGAAGATGAAAATGAGGTATTTCACGTAAAACGAAGTGGTAATAACATGTGTTTAATTGAGTTTTAATTATTACAAACTTGAAAAATAAATTAATCTGATATTTTAGAACAACTTTCATATTAAAAGTTTTCGCACGAATCACACCGTTTAGCAGTTTGAAGAGCGTGCCACGAAAATCCAAAACTTTATCCAGTGTTAGCGATGGAAACAAACAGAGCCTAGAATAGAGGGACTAATAGATTAGTCCTATGAACCAAACAGGGTCTAAGATTATAAATCTGGACAAGCTTCCTATAGCCCTATATATACAATACAATATGTTACATCCCATATACTTTATCCGTTTCACAATGTAAGTCATTCTAGCATTTCCCACATTTATATTGATGGTAATGAATCTAGACATAATGTTAGAATAACTTACATTGTGGAACGGAGGAAGTAAAATTATTTTATTTGAACGGAAGTAGTACTTACCAAAACTGAAACTGAGCAAATTAATCAAAGTTGGTGGTTATGCCTGGTGGTTGACAGAAAAATCCAGGAGCTAGCTTACCTGTATATATCATCCCAACCCTATCAGCTGGCGCATGTGTGTGTGTGTCCTTGCAGCAGAAACAAATGAAGGGATAAAGCTCTCTAGCCTAAGCGATATCGATCAAGAGGTGGCTGCGGGGAAAGGGGAGGAAAGCGGCGTTGGGCCGGGCGACACGGCGGACGGCGACGTTGGCCATGGCTGTCGCCCCACGTAAACGAAGGAACACTGCCCCCGCGTCTCGATCGACGTACACACGAACGAACGCACGCAGCGCGGCCGCGTCGCCGTCGGCTGATCGATCACGTCGAGACGTCGCCCTCCGGTCGGGTCGGCTGCCGGCATCCGTCGTCACCAACAAGTGCAGCACGGTGAGAGGAGGAGAGCAAGCGAATCACTCCTAATTAAGCAGCAGCAGCTGTCTGATCGCCTGATGTTTGTGTAATTGTGTCCTGATGATTACCAGCAGAGTCCGAACCACAAATTGGGCTGAAAACCTTAGTGGGCCGAAATGGGGCCAGAGGCGGCAGTTTTTATCTTGAGGGGCCGAGGCCTGGTTTGGGAGGGGAATAAGTTCATTCTAGGTCCCTCAATTTGTCGCCGAGTTTGAAATTCATTCCTTAAGTGCAAAACCAGGTACAACACATCCTTTAACTTACAAAACCGTGCAAAAGAGGTCCCTCGGCAGTATTATGCCCAGTTTTGGCTGACGTGGCGCTTATATGGCAATTTAATTTTAAAAAATAAAAAACATGGGACCCACATGTCAGCTACATACAAAATAATAATAAATGGTGGGACCCATTTGGCCCCACATGTCATCCCTCTTCTCTCCATCCTCTCTCTCTCTCACCTGGGCGGAGCAGGTCTGAGCGGAGTGGCTGGCCGGTGGAGCTAAGCGGCGGCGGCTGGAGCAAGCTGGCACAAGCGACGGGCAAGGGGCGGCGGCACCGCGGCGCCGAGAGGTGGCGGGCACAGCAGAGGGGCGGCGGGCAGAGAGGGGGCGAGTGGCAGGCGAGCTCCTGGAGATGGCGACGGGATGAGGCTAAAAGGACGCCGCCGTCGTCGTCGGTGTCCTCGAACCAGTACGGCTTATCCACACCCTTGAGGAGGGGGAAACCGTTGAACAGCACCGGGATTGCGTCAATGGTGGTGTAGATATGGGTATTGGCCGTCTTCGGGTGCTTCTCCTCGCGCCACGGCACCGCCTCACGGCCGTCGCCATTGTCGTCGTCATCTCAATCCCCGCCGCCGTCGATGAAGAGGTGGGGGACGATGTTAGCTAAACTCCGGCAACTGCAGTGAAACCTGCAACACACACACGCTTGGACGCGAGAAGAACAAACCAATTGGGAAAGTCTTTTTGGCGCTGCATATTACTTGCTTGCGACATTTTCTGTTTCTTTCCCTTTTATCCATACGCGATTACAGAACGTGGGCACGATGACCCAACTTACGCGGACACGATCCTTTCTCAGCAGATGCCATCCCAAATGCTAGGATCGTGGCCACGCGGCGTCGTCGACGCCTAGGCCGAGCTCCGCCGAGTCGCCGACGCTGATCTGGGGAGCGAGGCTATCGTCTCCTCCCTTTGGATCCACGGCGACGAGAGGAGAGGGGAAAAGGGAGAAGGAGGTGCCGTCGTTTGTGGGCTGGCCGCCGGTTGCTCGATGTCGTCCGCGGCGCCGGCGTGGGTTGTCGTCGTCCTCCACCGCCTTGCCCCTCGCCTGTGCCGCGGCCTCCGCCTGCTGGAGCTGCGCGTGGAGCACCGGCGCAGTGGAGAGGGCGAGGAGCTCGCTCGTTCTAGCCGCTCCCTTCTCTCCCGTATCTCGTCGACCACCGCGAGTCACTCCCTCCTCTCCCACTGGTGCCGCGCGCCGCTGCCAACTCTTCCGTCTCCCGCCGGCGCCGCGCGTCGCTCCCTCCTCACCCGTCGGCCGCCGCGCGCCGCCCCTCCTCACTCGCGCCTGGAGAGAGGACAAAGGAGAGGGGAGAGAGATGAAGGGGAGTCGGGGAGAGAGGAAGAAGAAGAGGAGGGGCGAGGATGACATGTGGGTCCCACGTGGGCCCCCACCATTTTTTATTAATTTGTGTGTGAAACTGACATGTGGGTCCCATGGGTTTTATTATTTTTTTTCTAGATCGAATTGCCATGTAAGCACCACGTCAGATGAAGACCGAGTCAAATTAGCCACGTAGGCGCCACGTCAGCCAAAACCACCCTCAAACCCATCGAGGGACTTAATTTACACCGGTTTTGATAGTTGAGGGACCCGTTGTGTCTGGTTTTTCGGTTGAGGGACAAAAGTCGAATTCGTTGACAAGTTAAGGGACCTCAGATAAACTTATTCCTTTGGGAGGCCATTACCAAGCTCAGAGTGTTAATGTACAGGGGATTGCTATTTAGCACACACATTTTTTACTACTTTTTTTGTGAAAGCTTTTATATGTAAAAATTTCATCTGGAAACTTCATTTGAAAATTTTTCTTCTCAAACTTTTCATAAGAAACTTTGGCGCGGGCTTTATGGATTGCTTATAAGCAAATGTTATAAAATAAACAATGATTAAAAAATACCACAAAAACTAACTTCAAAATTAGTTTTTAAAATAGATTTTGGCTAAAAAAATCACAATGAAGAAAAACACAAATCAACTTAAAAATAAATTTTAAAATTTAAATTTAGGCTTATAAATATGAGCCTAAGCGAAACAATGGGGCTAGTAGTATTTTTATGATATGGAAGGGAGGAAGAAGAATAACGTGTGTTGAACTATTGATCACCAGATGGTTTCATAGAAAAACTACTCCTACCTGATACTATTACCATGTACTCTCTCCCCCCAATCCAGATTTGTAGTACTGAGTGGTTTGATATATATTAGGACGGAGGTAGGTAGTACTACGTGTCATGTTCACTATAGAATCAGTAGTTAATTGTCTAAGTTTGTTGTAGCTAAACAAACGATCAATTATATGTAGTATTATTGTGTATAGATATGGCATGACGAGATTATATCGACAGTAACCGTCTAAACAGCTTTTCCCTCAAAAAAAAAACCGTCTAAACAGCTATTCGTATCATACGGGAGAAAATCCTATAAAATCCGATCGAGCTTTGAAACAGACGCACATGTCACCAGCTTGTGGCTGTGTCTGCTTACAGATGGCGATTTGTTGATGCATATGGAATGGAAGCCGCCGTCTGTTTCATGGCAGCCAACAGTATACGGCTAAATATAGCTTGCAGATTCCTAAGCTGATTTGTGCCTTTATCACTCGATTAATTAAGCAGAGATAATTGTACCATGAGAGAGCAGTTGCCAGATGATAAGTAGCCTTCAAATGGTGCTAACCTTATCACTTCTACTTGGCACTAGCAGTGTGATGTCATCATGATTAAAATGGTGGTCCATCAGAAGTTCAGAACTCCATTGGCTGACCATATTATTCAGAGCGAGGTCATCATGTGTGGCAACTTGCAAGCAACGGAAGAACTTGATGGGTAATTTTAAATTCTTCCCGAGAAAACAGCATGATCTGCACTGTGTAATTAACTAAAACGGATTTCTTTGGTCCACAGACAGGCTCCAAATGCCATCCTGACCAAGCAATAGAAGGGAAAAAAAAAAAGCAAGAGCACACAGATGCAAGACAGTCTAAGTCAGAACTCAGAAATAACAATACAGGCCCATTTCAATATACAAATGCCATCCCTCTTCAAGGTAAAGTCTTTATACTGAAGATTATATCATTCAGTGTGCTGCTAGCTCTGACTCAGTTTGGAGCACTTGCTTTCTGTGGGCATTGCTGTTTTGAGCCACTTCAGTCAAGCTGGCATTGCACATCCGACAGCCTGGTCCATGAGCACAGCTCACTGCTCCTTTTAGAATACAATGACAGCCAAAGCATCACCATTAGCTAGAGTACGTGACAGAAAAAATAAAGCTTTGAGAATGTGATGGCCAACTCACTGCTGCATGTAATGCTGTTTTCAGCTCACTTTGTCCATCAGCATGGAGAAGCAACAGGCACAATTCAGAGGAAACTAAATCTGACTAGATATTTCTTTTTAACACAATGCTTTATTTGCTATACCTTGGTACAAGATGGCATCCCCCACAAAAGGGTTTGTGTATATGAACATGAAAAAGACTTCTACTGACTACCAACACAAATGTAGTTAGAAAAATCAGGCAATACTACAACATGACATGAGCTTTGTGCACTGGCAGGAAGAACACTGCTTAATTGGCCTTACTCTGCTCTGCTAGATTGAGCTTAATCGGTCTTGCTCTGCTCTGCCACATTGAGCTTAATCGGGCGCGCCTCGAATCCACCTCCCTTGCGGTTCTCAAGAGTGTAAGGCATGTATGTTCCGAGGATCTTGTCCCACATGACAAAGAAGGGCTGCGAGAAGTTGTACTTGTTGCCATAGAGCTGGTGGTGAATGTCATGGTAGGCGCTGTTGTTGCTGAAGAAGACATGGAGGATGTTGCCCGGGAGCCACAGGCCGCAGTGGTCATCGACGGTCTTGATGGTCGCAAACGAGAAGAAGAATATGGCCGTCTTAGGAGTCATGCCGGCGATGAGGAAGGAGAGGGCGCCGCCGATGGTGTCCAGGATGAGGCCCTCAAGGGGATGGTTGTAGAGAGCTCCAAAGGCATACGGGACTACAAGAGTGTGGTGCTTGGAGTGGACATGCTTGTACAAGAACTTGTTGACATGCATATATCTGTGCATGAAGTATTGCCATGTGTCCATAACAAACATCGCAATGATGAATTGCAATGCTATCACAAGGGCCGGAGGCTGCTTCCTCACAGTACCACTTTCATCACCAATGATCTACATTTTGGGGAAATTGCAAGATTGTAAGTACAATAATCACATAAGAAGTTTCATCAAGTAGAACGAAAGTAGGTTCAAAGAGAAACTTCTATTAGTAGTGGGAACCGTTGCATACTATTTCAAACTTTATTGTTTTCTAGATCTTCATATATTAGCTTGCGCAAAATGTTTGAAATCCAATATAATAAATTTCCCCATGTTAAAGAAACCAACCAAACCCTGTTTACTTAACAGGTTAGCTTCAGAGTTAACTACAGTTTAAGGCATGTTCAACAGTGAGACAAAACTCAAGCTCATATGCTCCCAAAATCAACATGCAACCCCACCAATTCTGTTTGCTATCACCAGGCTAATTTTTCCCCACATTACAAATGCTACAAAAAACTGTCCAATTTCGCATTCACAGTTATCAAGAAAGCTATTGTTTCAGACTAGTTCATGACATATTCTCAAATCCATCCCCAAACTGAATTTTCTTTTCCCTATGACAAGAACTAACAGCAGCGCTAAGACAAATGTGAGGAGAGGGATTGTTACCGTGAAGAGGAGGAGGGAGACGGCGATCTGGAAGGACTGCTGGACGAGGACGCCCTTGACGACGGTCCACTTGGAGACGACGTTCTTGGTGGCCTCCTCCCCCTTGGGGTGGAGCCTGTAGTCGTCCATCCCCATGGCGTCCAGCACGATGTACAGCCCCGAGTAGAGCCAGTACACCGCGATCGGGACGAACGTGCCGAGCAGCTCGTCGGACACCGCGAACGCCATCCTCTCAAGACACTCCAAATCTCCTTCAAATCCTCTACACACTGCCATCGAAAAAAGGCGCAAATCTGAATGAGCAATCTGAATCGCAATACGCAGGCATTGGCGGGCACCGAGCACAAAACCCTCAAAGAAACCAAAAAAAGAAAAACAAAAAGCAGGGAATCGATTCGGATCTTACCAGGAGGAGGAAGCAAAGAACGCAAGAAGGCTCTCCTTTGTTTGATTCTTGTGCTGCTGCTCCGAGGTGAGTGGATATGGTGCAGGGCGGCCACTCCGGCGAGTACTTATAGCGAAGCAATGCGGAGGGGGGGCAATGGCCAAGGCGGTGGCGGTGGCGGGCGGGCGGGGTCTGAGAAGGGCGGCGAGACCGGCGACTCGTACAAAGATTTGTTCTTTTTTTGGACGGAGGCGAGACGCACTCGAGGAAGGAAGGAAGACCGGCTCGGAGAGGAGAGGAGAGAAGGCGAGCCGTCCACTCCTCCTATCTGTTGCTGTCTTGACTTCACTGGAATCTGTGTGGAAGGAGAGGAGGGCTCTTCTCAAGCTGGACAAAGGGTTGGTTGCTGCTTCTCCGGTTTAGGTTGTGTTTTGGGGTTTTTTTTTTTTTTGAAATTTTTGAATATTTAGTATTAAAAGTAAACTCTTGTAAAAGTTGTTTTCCAAGATGTGAATCTTTTGGCCACGCAAAATAATACTGTCATGTCGGTCTGGTTGGCGTGGTAGAATAAAACTGTCAAGCCTACTACACGCCAGCTCGTTCGGATTTTGGAAATAAGTTTTAGAAGGGTTTATTTTTAAAATTAAAAATTAGGAAGGTATGAAAAAAAAATCCACTTTACTATCTTCTACGCACTTTTTTTCACATGCACGCTTTCTGAGTTGCTAAACGGTATATATTTCTAAAAAAAAGTCTATAGAAAAGTTTCTTTAAAAAATCATTTAAATCTATTTTTAAATTTTTTTAAGATAATACTTAATTAATTATATGTTAATAAGCTATCTCATTTTTTATGTGGGAAGGAAAAGTCCCCAACTCCTACTTCCAAATACATCTGGCATTCTAGGATTTAAATTATATAGAAAAGTTTCCTGTAGAAAATATTTAGAACAAATAACTGATTCCCTACAAAGTTCTTTGAAATTTTAGTGGACTAGGCTACTATAGAGGAGTTGTGGAGAAAAATAATCATGTCTTCATCTTTCTATAATTTCAAGCTCATGTGTTTTTCCCATGTATAATTGAAACTGTAGTTTTGAGGCTTTTCTAAGTTTTTAGTTTTCATAGGAATTTAATTAGCACAATATTCTATTTATTATTATTATTTTTTTTAGAGAAGGGTATTTTTTTACTCGGCCTCTATATCCAACTGGATATATGCAGCTTTTTTTTAATAGGAACTTAGCCTATCGAACAGGGAACTAACTCTCAAATAACCCAATCTGAAATTCGCTCCTATGGAGATTTGAACTCAGGATATTGGGTGCTACTCAGGTTACTGCAAACACGATATTCTATTATATGTTTCTTTTTCATTTTTGTATTTTCACAATTCCACGTTTTAAAAGAAGACCTATAATCTAGATAACTAACCCTAGTGGTAAGTGGCGAATGTGATTACTGTTATACAATTGTCAAACAGAAAATTATGCCGGCTAGCACACAGGATTACAGGAGATTGGAATGGATTCTCAGATGCATTAACTGTTTTGAAGGAGATAGCACGTGCTGGGATGTTTTGACCAGGCCATTATTTTTTTTACTCGAGTTGTTTTATGCCAGCCTGTACCGTCCAAAAGAAATTATTTGTACAATTTAAAATTTTAAAACTTAGTTTTGTAACTAAAATTAGATGTTTTTAGTTGTTTTTACTTAGTTTTGGCTTTATGAAAACTAAAAATAGAAGTGTACAAGTTTTATCGTAAAATTATTTTATATTAGTAATGTATTTTTAGTTAATAAGTCGCAGCTAAAAATATATCTTCAAGTGGACAATAACAGTATCACTTGGCAGGTTTGTAGGTTGACACAAATTAGGGTATTTTTATGTTGAAAAGGCACTTAATTATGGTGAGCACGTCACATTTTTTGCTTGGTATTTTTTGGTCAAACTTGGAGAAACCAGGATAACAGACCACAGGATCATCATATATACTATCATGATTCTACATATCATTCCACGTGAGATTTTGAGATTGACCTCTCGTCGCAGGATGTCACATTATCACATCCCATCACACCAAAGCACTATACTACTCTTAACGAGTAATTTTGCCCCAAATCTTCTACGGTGATTCAAATCAATGATCATTTTGATGGATGAATTGGACAACTTGGAATTGACAAATGGCATATGCCTTCCTCTACGCCTTTCCATTAAGGCAGGCGTTACAAAATTATTTGCCCGGACAGAATAAAGCTGCAAATTTAATTACTCCCTCAGTTTCACAATGTTAGTCATTCTAGCATTTTTCACATTCATATTGATGTTAATGAATTTAGATAGATATCAATATGAACGTGAAAAATGTTAGAATGACTTACATTATGAAACGGAGGAAGTAGTTTTTTAATGAGTTACTTCGAGCCGCCTAGCCATGTTGTCAGTGTGATAAAAAATACGAGCCTTTTGTTGTAAAAAAGTGTACATTTTCGCTTTCAATAGTGCGTGATAGAGCCCACGTGTGCGCGTATGGAATGCACATTTATAAGCGTATGGAGTGGGCATGTATGCATATACATCTTTGTGTAATTAGAATAAAATCATTTTATTAAAATTAAGTAAGCGCAACTTAACTGATTAGATTCTTTATAGTGGAATCAACTCATTCGGATAAATTCTAAAACACGGGTGTTCGTATTTACGGTTAATTATTCTTTCCGTGATAGATAACGTATATGTCAATAGAGAGACTCACATGTAAATATCAAGATATGTGCGCGTGCTATGAGCGTATACGTCTGTACTGTGATTCTAAGATTACCTTTTATTTAAAAAACAAGGTAGTGTTTGAGAACCATAGTGTTCCACGCTAGGGAGAAGTACTACCGTACCGAACGAGGCTTTCAACTCCAAAGGCCAACCAGTTTAGACCAGATCGTCCGGAACGGAACGAAAAAACAGAACGGCGTTGTATTCCGTGGAACAGTAGCATCGCGTCCATGTTGCTCTACCGGCCATTCATCTATTCTGACATCTTCGGTGATGGCTTGGTCAGCAATGGCGCAGTTAAAAATATTTTTAAAAAAATCAGCAACAGAAGCCCATTCCCTTGACTAATTTCGCTCTGTCGTTACCAGGGTTTAAAAGAACCGGACTTCCTAACTGGTTCGAGTTCTAAAAAAAATCAAACTGGATTTTAGATTTGTGACAAAATTTAACCGAATTTTACCAAGAGTCAACGGTTTTCATAGAATAAACCGTCGACTTGAGAACGGTTTGATAAACCTGGTTGCTAGTGCATGTCACCATTCCATAATAGACTTGTTGGCCTTTTGCTTCCTACCATGGCAGATGGCACAACTGCTTCACACTGATTACGTTAAGTTTTGGACGACTGATCCACCACTCATCAACGTGCCTAATCTATTAATTAGATGCTACTGATAAATGATAATACACATATCCGCACCCACTTTTCTTGGCTCTAGAAAGGCTAGATAGCATCATGCCATGAATCTACTTCTCCGGTCTCTGCACGGTAGGGGCCAAAGTTGAATCATAGAATATAAGAGCGTTTTTTTGGAACGCGGGATTCTCAAAACGCAGAGAGAGATTAAAGTGTCATGACATCTCAAATCCCATGGATTGAAAAAACACATGAAAACATATGAATAGCCATTTGGATAGAACACAGGAAAAATATAGAAATAAGGCCCTGTTTAGAGGTCGGCTGCGGCTCCCGATGAGGAGGAGCTCTGCAGCGAGTGAGCGAGGTCGGCCGCAGCGGTGGTGTTAGGACTTGGGCGGCGAAACGGTGAGGACAGCCGGCGATGTGAGAGGACGAGGAGGATGGAAAGAGTGACGGGGTGAATGAAAAGAGTGACGGAGTGGTATGGTTCTAATTTTAAAAATTTTCAGTGTCATCCAGTCGATAACGCGAATAGTAGTGTTATTTTTTTGATTTGCCACATTTGCAGTGGCATGGGTCTAATTAACCCAAGTTTTTTTCCAAACTTCACATCAAACCTTTCTTACACACATAACTTTTCTATCACATCGTACCAATTTTAACCAAACTTCCAAACTTCAGTGTGACCTAAACACAGCCTAAGAAGAGAGACCCTAAGGATTTTTCTCCAAGAGGTTGAAGTCCATGTTAAAATTCCTCCAGAATTCCTATGATTTGAGCCAATCCAAAGGAATTTCATAGGAATTTTTTTAATAGTTATTCCTATGAACCAAATGACCATTGAGGAAAATTTTCCATAGGATTGAAAATTTATAATGGTCTAGAATCAGCTACTAAGCTCTACTTGACCACCATCAAAAACTAGGTCAGAATGGGACTGCTGTAACTGCTAACCGCACGGCACGGCCATACGTCCATACGTACGTCACCTCGGACAAAACTGATGAAGCACACAAGGGCACAAGTAATAAAAATAATTGAAGAATACAATCCCCAGCGAATTAGCAAGGGTTATAATATTTATAGGAAGGCAAAATGCATCACCTTCCACAACAATGCGATTGAGAACTCGAAAAAAAATTCTCAGCTTTCATGATGCAATCAGCCCAAGGATATCACATATATAGCCTTCTTCTTGGATAGGGATGAAATCAGATTGGAATCAGGAGGACAATATTTGTACCAGATCCTGGGTTTGTATTATATACACTATCCAATACACTTTCATCCCTAGTCTTGGATCAAGAGTTTATAATCATCCAAGGTTCAAAGAACACAAACGAAACCACCCAGCCTCATAGCCCTACTTGAGCCTTGTTGCCTTGGCGGAATGCCAAGGCCAAAAGAATGCGGCAACACGCAAACAAAAAGATGAGCTTAAGATTCATGGATATAACTTTGCAGCACAATTCAACAGCATGGGTGAACAAGGTTGGACCAGGACATCATTTGTGCAGGGAGCAGATCAACGAGGACAGAAAATACAGGTAAAGCAAACCACAGTGACAGGAACTGTGACAACCATCCAGGTTTCCTAAGGTTTGGACAACTTCTAAATGGCACCGATGCATCTAGCAGTATAACCGGCTCAGGGTAAAAACATGGTAAATTCAGAGTACCAATCATCGATACGCTGGCGCGCCAGGAAAGGAATAGAGAGACGAAACCGATGCACCAGGTGCATTAAGCCTTGTAGAGGCATACCTTTGACTGATATCAGAATATGCGGGATTGGGGACCTCATAATGAGCTGTTGGATAGGGTGCGTGGAGAGGGAGGTCCACAGCATGAGTGATGCGTTGGTCAGAACGGTAAAGATCCTCTACACGAACAGCACGAGCAGAAATTTCTCCAGGACGGTACAGATCCTCCACACGAGCACCACGGATAGGAATTTCTCCTGGACGATACAGATCCTCCATGCGAGCACTGTGAGCAGCAACCTCTCGTGGACGATAGAGCTCCTCCACACGAGAACCACGAGCAACAATCTCTCCTGGACGGTAGAGCTCCTCCACACGAGAACCGCGAGCAGCAAGCTCTCCTGGACGGTAGAGCTCCTCCACCCGAGCACCAAGTGAAGCAATATCCCCTATCCGCCTGAGTTCCTCAACACGGGCAGCACCATCAGATCTTGTGGCTGGGACTGCTGTATAATCTCTTGAAAGAAATGGATCAGCCACAGTTCTGGCAGCAACACTGAAGTTCAAGGAATTTGTTAGCCAAAAGCATGGTATTGTTCTAAGTAAGAAAATTGAAGCCTATAATAACCAAAATAGGATGTAATAGTTAGTTTGGGTTAGTATTCAAGTGTACACCTACAGCAAACAAAACATGCTTAATATAGATGATACGCTGATAGAAATTTATTAATACTATAGTGCATAAAACATTTGTCCAATTTGTTTTCACTGGTGGATTCATAGTTTACCAAACTAACATAGTGTCATAATAAGATCCACTCTCCGCAAGCGGGTTACCCACTTATTTAGCCAATAAGTGGGTTCACGGGTTGACCCACTTGAGCCTTACTCTCCATTGTCAAAAACTTAAAATTATTCTCCCTCTGTCCAAAATAAAGCAACCAAGGATGGGATGGGACATATCCTAGTACAACAAATCTAGACAGGATATGTCCCATCCCATCCTAGGTTGTTTTATTTTGGGACGGAGGGAGTATTGTAGCACTTTTCCGGTGGTATGTTGGGAAAAAAAAACATGAACTACAACATGTTTTTAGAACATATTTTTCCGTCAGGAATAAACTAACAAGACTAAGTTTCCACAAGGAATTAGGTCAAATTTAAGGATGGGCGTGGGTCACTGACTGGTGCATTTAGTTAATTTTGTTGAACTAGACAAATTCATGACGATCAAGCAACCAATGGAACTTCTCTTGCAAAGTTGCAAACGGAACTTTTCTCTTTTTCACACCTTAGAGAGCTATATCTCCAAGGGAACAGTTAAGATGAACTATAAATGGGCCATCATGTACATAACACACGTTAACCTTTCTTTTGCTCAGAACTGCTTTGTGTTACATTGGTCTATTGACAATCTGACACGCTTCTTCCATGGATTCCTTTTCTACATTTCCTAATATATAAACTATATGGTTGTTAAGGCGGGTAAGGCGACCCACCCACGCCTTACTAGTTACCACTATAGTGTAAAACCGCTAAGGTATGGCGACACCATAACCTAAGTGATTAGCAGCATCAGAAGAGAGAGAGAAAGAAAACTCAGGCCAGCCCAACAAAGCCCAATAACGTTCATACCAGCCCAAAGTCAAAGAAATAACCCTAACACCCACACCAGGTACACACTCTCTCCTCTCAAAGCGCTGCCTCCAATGTCACTTCTTCCTCACGCCTGTATCGCTTCTTCCTTGTGCTAGCTCTGCTCCTCTATCTGTGCTCCTTACTCCCCTGATTCAGAATGAATCCAGTGCTTCTCTTTGTATGTGCTCCTTCCCTTGGATGGATCTAATGCTGCTCCCTTGAGTCAAGATGAATCTGGTGCAGGGGAGAGAAGAAGAGAGGAAACCAGAGCTAAGGGGGAGCAAGATGGCGATGGCATGGAGCAGAGAAATGGGAAAATGGTGTAGTTGCTGCTTCCTTCACCTCTTCTCCCTCTCCCTCTCTGGGTTATGGCATTAAGCCCTTAAGGTGGAGGGATGCCTTAACACCCTCAGGGAGCCCTAGAGCTATAGCGACGCCTTAACAACCATGATATAAACTAGAGATGGCATTATTATCAAGTATCAGAATTCTGTTGAACAATTCTAAAGAAATGCTAATAAAAAATCGTAATATATTTCTTAAACCTCAAGATTGTACCATAGAAATATTTGTGGATTAGATAAGTTATGAGCACTTCAGTTTAATTGATAACATAAAATTGCACTTGCAGAGCTGAATGATAAGAGAGGTGAAGGCATTTGGGCTCGGTTCAATTATCTAAGAAAGTGTTTCACGGGATATATACTCTATTTTAAAACCAGGATACTGGCCATGTTCCATTCGTATAAAAGACAATAAAAATGTTCTAGGTTGCTAATGCATGCATTGATAGTAACAAGTCCAAACATTTCTCACACGGTATCTTTACATTTCGGAAAAAACACAGCTTCAAGCGTTAATCTACAAAAAATAACTAGTTAATCAATTTTATGTCAGTTTTCAAATATTTAACTAACCAATGGAAAGATCAACTTAATTTGCTGAATTAGTAAGTATTTTCCCGTCTCCAAACACTATGCGTTTCCAAATGTTTTACTACCTTTGTCCCAAAAAGAGTTCACTTTTAGAAACGAATCTGGGCATGCCTCTTGTCCAGATTCATGTATAAAAGTGCAGTCTTTTTGGGACAGAGGTAGTATTTATTAACCACAATGACAGACCAACATGCAAGAGAGAGAAGCTCTCGCAAAATTTCTACAAGACATGTTACGAATAATAAATATGGACCACAACTTAGGAAGCTTTGTGCATTAACGTACCGATCAGGCAGTGGATCCACTTGAGAACGATAATATGGAACATCAGATGGAGCCAAATGGCGGTAGTATGCATGTGGAACATGCTGAATCTCTGGGATAGAAGGGCCATGACGAGGCTCTAGGGCATGCGGCACAAGACGAGGCTCTATGTCAAGAGGAACACGCTGAGACTCGCGTGCAACAAGTGTTTGCTGATAATGTATGTGGGGACCATCATGAGCATTAGACAAAGAATGATCAATCCTATAATCCACTGGATGTGGATCAAAGCGTGTTGCCCTGTATAAGTCTTTAGGGGGAGGAACATGCATGACAGGCAAAGAAGATCGTCTTTCTTCATATTGATGTGGCTGTGTTTTTCCTTCATAGTGGTGCATCTCTTCAAGAGGCTTCTGTGGAGCTGGTTGAGGTACACTCACAGACTCAAATAGAGCTATTAGCCTATGGACCTGCACAATATCATGTAATACATAAGATAAAGTAAATACTAACATCTATGATTTGTTCTTTTAAAACTTTCTGTTTTGAACAAAATTCAAATGACACTCACTTGTCTAGAGTTGAGCTCGGGATTGAACTTGCTCTTTGCACTATAGTTCTCTCTGATTGCATCCTTAAATCTGCTCTCAGGAAGTGGAAGGCAATCTTTATCTATCTTAAATTTCACCTGTGGCGAGCTCAAGCACAAAAAATAGTTTTGAGTACAACGAAAATATCAAATCTTCAACACTAACTACTCTAGATGAAGCCCATTTTCAAACAGAAGGTTGTGTGGAATCTTGTGCCCATGAATTCGTGCTTGATCATTGAAAGTAGATAACAGTCCAAATATGCAATTGTGAGGTCTTAAAAGTTGTGCACGGAATTGGCAATGGTGGTCCTAATATACATGCTGTACAGTCTTATGTAAGAACCACTTGTACAAACTTTCGTGACTTTCCATCATATGGTTTCCCAGATATGGTAAATTCCAACTAACCAATGGAAGTGCAGTAAAAACAAATCGACCCTCACAGAGTTACAGTTATATCTGAAATGACAACTTGAATATAAACCAAGCATCAAAGAACTCTATGGACATAAATGGTCACAAGCAAATCCTGTTATTAAGAAACAGGGGCAATGAATGTTCTCTTAGCAGTCTATCAAATCATTCAGTCACATTACTTACAGCACCACCTGTTTTCTTAATTAAAGCAAAGATGAATATAGCTAGCTAGTATATCTACATCTGTTTCAACAGATAACCAATGCAAATGCACAATTCAAGTTACAGCTGATGATGATGTCTAATGCATATGCATCAATCTTCCGAAAATGGAAATGCAATATGTATCGACAACAGGGTTATTTTGTTCTCAGAAACAGTGTGAACCAGAAAGATACCATTTCTACTATCGCCAATCATAGGTTTGTGTACAAAAATCATTGGTGCACCATAGTATCAATCAATCCCCAAAATAGTATGTACACCCTTAAGTATAAAAACATAAACCCCAAAAAACCATATTCACTTCCTCTTTAAAAAAAACATTCACAGCATATGAGTTTGTCTACAGCGATGGAATACCAGAATTACCTGTGCAGGGAATTTTCCACTGAATGCATCTCGAACAAGATCAAGCCCACCCTTTGATACTGCCTTGTACACCCCATAAAGTAGCTTCAAGTCAAAATCATAGAGGAACAACCTCATCCCTGGTCGGATCTTCTCAACTATTCCGATTTTCCCTCTGGGATACCCAAACAAGCGGCTCTGAAAGCATTCTGGTTTAGTCTGCGCATTACACATGAATATAAGCCCTCCTCCCTTACTGTCAAGCCTCTCTTCCTTCTTGCTTCCCTCCTCCTCCTTCCTCCTTTCCTTCACATTGCTAGTCCTCTCCCCAGCAATCTCTCTTTTTCTCTTCTTGATGGCATCACCATCGTTGTTATCAGCACCTACACCATTCTTGGTGGCAACTACAGCATTAGCATTAGCATTAGCCTCAGCCAGCTTTGGTTTTAGCTTTAGCCTTCGCTTTGGCGTTGATGCTTCAGCCGTAGCTGCCGCTGGCGTCGATATCACCCGAGCTGCTGATCCATCGGCCACAGTAGCTGATCGCGGAGCCGGGGCTGCAGGCGATGCATCAGCATTGCCACCAGCAGCACCAACGGATGGGGACCCTGAAGCGGCAGCAGCTGCTGCAGCCTTCGCCTTCGCCTTCACCTTATTCAACCTAGATGTCTTCTTGACCGATGCAGGGGTGGAAGGGCTCCCCTTGGATGCCCCGTCCGCATCAGCCACCGCGGCCGGTCGCAAAGCCGGAGCCGCAGGCGATGCATCAGCATTGCCACCAGCATCACCCAGGGACGCGGCCTCTTTACCAGCCGCAGCGGCTGGCGCAGCAGCCTTCTCCCGGCTAGCCTTCGCCTTCACCTTCGCCTTCCCCTTGACCAACTTAGTCACCCTGAGCGATGCAGGGGTGGAAGGGCTCCCCTTGGACGACCCCCCATCCGCCCCACCGGCGGCGGCCGCCTTGACCTTGGCGGCGACGTTGGGCTTCTTCATCGTGGTTGACCTAGCGTGGACCAAATGGGGGGCAAACAAACGAACGAAAACCTATCATCAAAAGCTACACCACGCGCGCATCAAACGAACCAAATCGGGAAGGAAGAACAAATCGAATCGATCCCAACTCCGGATTGGATCTCCGACGAGGGAGGGCTACGAGAGAGATAGAGATGAAAAATACCTTCGATTCGATTCGATTCGCACCTGCTCGCGGGCAGCAGGGGAGAAGGCGCACGGGCGGGGAGGAGAGGAGCAGGCCGACCGACCACCGGTTTGCCCCCGGCCCCTCGTCGCCGGCGACGTGCGCCGGAGCGAGGCGAGGCGGCGGAAGTTTTCCGGCCGTGCCTCCGCCGGGAACGGCGTTTCTCTTCGCAAACAAGGGTTACGATAGCGCAAACGGAGAATCGAAGATAAAGCGAGACGGAGAGAGGGGTGGAGGTGTGGAAGGGGAAATGCTTTATGGGCCTTTATTTCCAAATTAGTAAATTTAGCACATTTTAGAAAACTTTTTTTCTTCAACTGTCAATTTCCTTGAACTTTTCGTTTGCCTTGCTAGTAATGGGTATATATATGCCACAAGTAGGATGACTCATCTAAGGCCATGTTTTTTCAGCTTGGGATTATTATAATCCAGATTATTAGGAGTAAGTTGAAAGAAACGGATAACTTATTGAAGTAGCTTATTATAATCTAGAGCCCAGCTTATTATAATCTGATAAACTCATTTAGGTGAGCTTTTTCTAGATTATTGAGTGAAAAATTACTCACCATGCCACCCCACTCCCTTTTTAGACTTGCAAACTCAATAATCTAGGCTCTAATAATCTGGAAAGAAACAACTAACCGCTTATTCTACTACAGATTATAACAATCTAGCTTATAGTAATCTAACTCAATAATCTAGATTATAATAATCCCAAGCTGAAAGAAACAGGGCCTAAGACTCTTATATCTACATATGTACTTCCTCTGTTCCATTCTAAAATTGCACGGTGAATATTAAAGGTAAAGTGTTTTTCAAGCAATATAGTTTTTCTTTAATATGTCAAGCTACAATTTTTGCCAAATGCTAATCTTGATAAAATAGGTATAGCTTCGTGACATTTATTCCGATTAATGGATATCACTATTAGGAACACTCACTAAGAACCTGCATAAATAGTAATAAGTGGTTTTTAATGGAGTATCCGCCAATAAATTTCCCGCCAAAGTCTACCTCCTCACTAGCTAAAACCTCATGCCTATGTTATGCAAATCCGATCAATAATATTTTTTTTACCTATCTGAATTACAACACCTTAACATCATAATGTCTTGCTCATATTGATGTTGTTAAAAGAGAAAAATGTAATTGATGTTTGTAGAATTTGAAGGGTATTCCTGAAGATCAATGTCAAACATAATAAGAGAGGTGACTTGTTTGGACCCCTAAGACCGCCAAAGAGAGATGCCATTCATTCTATCCTAAGAACTAAAATCCTAGTGTGCGATGACATAGTGACGATTATCATGTTGCTTAAGAGCATAGGAAATTATACGAATGAGTTTGAATATATGGTTAGATGTTTTCTCTTTGCTATCACTTGTTGGTAAACCGGAGGAATGTGAGGAATCCAATGGTATAAAAGCCCTACAATTTAAAGCTTGCGGCACACGCCAAACTAACTGATGAATAAAGTACCTATTTGGTGACATTCAAAAAATTTTAACATTCATGAGGATATTTTCACCTTCGCATGAATTCACAATCTGTTAACCACCATCATCATTATGTCAATGACATGAGTGTGTTGCACAACTTATTTTGGGCAAACTAAGATTTAAGCATCAATACATCGACAATTATCTCAACTGAAATTATGAAAGAAATAGCAATTTCGTAACAAAGGAATTTGTCATGTACATAAACATACATAAGGCAGGAGATGGAGCGGAGCTTGAACAATAAAATGAAGGGGCCAATATGTAAGTTTCTTTGAAGTATAGGCTACTATACTAACATAACATGTGACATAACATGTGACAGATTATAGTGGACAAACTTCCCAAGCCCCAAGCTAACAAAAAAAATTTCTTCATCAGTATTTCTCAGAATATCCTTTAAATTAATTAATTTTTCAACTTTCAAATATTTAACTACTTTATTTGTGCGTTCCTATAATTGTCATAACCTCAGTTTTATTCCTCAACCATCAATACTCTACAAGCATGGCCTTTAACTTCAAGCAGTCATGGGCATCAGGTTGACATCATAACCAATCACTTTGGTAGAATCCTTTTACAGTCCCATACTCCCATCCTGATTCAGCACTGCAGAAAAAGGGGAAAATTAGAACAACATTGCATCATCTAGCTGACCAGCTCTAATCCATCACCGCACATAGGCAATCCATGCGAACATGTGATGCAGCTTTCCATATTTTCTTCGTATTACTCAAAATATTGACTAGCCACTTCTTGGCAAAAGAATCACAGCATGATCAAATACATATTTCTCATGGACAGACGGCAGCTGGTGAGTCCACTAAGGGTGAGTTTGAGGAGGAGGAGATTGAGAAGATTGGGAAGATACAAAAAACGAGGTGAGCCATTAGCGCATGATTAATTGAGTATTAACTATTTTAAATTTGAAAAATAGATTAATATGAATTTTTAAAGCAACTTTCCTATAGAAAATTTTTGCAAAAAATACACCGTTTAGTAATTTGGAAAGCGTACGCGCGGAAATAGAAACAAACTCACTCACTTTCTTCAGCTGCCGAACGCAGCCTAAAGATTGAGATGGCAGCAGCTGATAAGAGCTAGCAGAACAGAAAGCTGCTTCATGTGTCATACTCCCTCCGCCGCAATATATCCAAACTTATAGTACTAAACTGTGTCTAATCTAATATTAGGTTGCTATATTTTAGAATGGATGGAGTACATAAAAAGTTAGTGTCTCAGCTAACATCACAAACGGACACAATTTTTCCTATTATTCGATAGAGTCATGCCAAATGACAAAGAGATCGAAATAAATTATTTTCCTCTCCTAAGAAGGTCAACAGGGAAGGTTTCAGGAGAAGACTGCGAGAACTAAAATACAAACAAAATCCTGGTCATAAAATCAAATGCATCAACAATATCTATACACAGCGTACTCAATTTTTCCAGGAACAAATAATCAAATCTGTGGAGAAAAATCAAGCAGCCAAGCTAAACGCATACAATTTTATTAAAACTATATACCTATCCATTTCATGCAGAAACTAGTGAGCATTCTGTCGTGCCAATTACAGTTGAAAAATCTAGTTGACCTGGCATTTCGAAACTATACATGCAGGAACTTTCAATAATTATTCATAAATTTGTTGCCCTCAAATGAAGTTCTATCCAGTAACATTATACCTCAATAAAATACTCCAACTATTAGTGCAGTGGAGAAAGATATGGGAAACATTGACAAAATAAAATGTCACTGGATATATAACTCTTTCTCCTTTTTGGATAGATACAATTGGGAGATAAGTTTGCTATAAATAATACAGGAGCATTCAGCTATAGTTTCCTTCCAATAGACTGCCACATACTCTATTACTCTACACCATGATGGTCCAGTACAGTTTAGCTAATGAAACAATACTATCATAAACCAGCAAGAAAAATCTACAAGTTTCTGCCCAGCACAGTTGTAAGAAAATGCTACAAAGGAAAATTTTGTTACAGATAACAAAGAACGCTCACGTAAAATTCTCCTGGCCAGTAAAACAACAGCATATCAGTGGTTTCCTCATTATTGGGAGTATTTTTTTTAACTTCCTTCATAGACCAAAGTTGCATAGTGTCAGGAATTCCATTTCAGTGTCAACATACTTGGTCCAGAGAGCTTTGTACTGGTTCAACGCAACATCAAGCCACGGTTTCATATTCCCATTAAAATGTATCACAGCAGCACCAGCGATAACCTCAGGACTGATGCTTGGATTATACCCAAGGCCCATTACATGCCATGATTTGTCAAGCGGCTTTGTATTGCCATAGAATGTCATCAGCCCAGCAGGTAGAACAGATGTGGGATCCCAAAGCACACCATCCTCATTCTGCCATGAAAATAATGGGTCATACATTCATACACATATCAGTGCCTTGGTGAGTGCAAACGCATGCTAGTAAGATGCAAAAATAGACAACTATGAGATCATTTGCATAACTGCATATGTATATAGTATATTACACAGGACAGGACAAAGTAGGTCAAGATAACATGCAAACATAAATTGTATATCGGGGCTGTTATTGTTTTAATTACTACACAATGGCCAATGAACACAAAAAGCTTAGGGCTCAGCAAAAAAGTATCACATATGCATGGCAATAGAAACCTAGTGATGAATTCATCTTGTGTTTTGTGGAACACTAGTTGAGAAGTCAAGATCATGAAGCGCTCAATCAGGCGACTATTATACACTAACTGACATGATTGGTTAGATCCTTGTTTACAAGATTTAGCCACACTGTGGTTGAATCGGCTAAACTAGAACCAGTAGGTTTGATGACTTGGTTCACAATTATAGCCATACGTTTCAACATGAAAAACCAGCAGTGTATACCTTCATGTCTATATCTCTATTTTTTTACTTCTCTCCCTTCATATCTCTACATCTCTCAATCTTCAACATTTAGTGGACTAAGCAACACAATACTTAGGGGCTCAAGAAATATCTATAACCACATCGTGCAATCGCATGGGAAATTCGCTAGTTGATAAACTTTTACAAATGTGATACATTTCTGATTATCCATACACATCATTGATAGTAGCTAATTGGAATAGTCACCCAAGAGACTACATAATTCTTCGTATGTCACAGAAGGAATGTATTGCCCTATAATTTCCTATACCAAATGCCCACTCAGGTTATTTAAAAATTGCAGGAAACATCAAGATACCTGAATCGCATGATGATCAATCACAAAATATCTTAAGAACTTCCATCGAGCTAGTGAAACTGCAAACTAAATGCATATGCACAACCAAATGGCACGAATCGAGGAGATTGGGCATTGAGCATAACTATAAGCGGCAGTCGCGTATCAAACCAAACGCACTCCAATGCTACTCATATATGTTATATATAACCGGATAAAACAGAAGCTTACCATTTCCATGTACTGATGGAACAGCTCCGTGCAGCCATCCCTTCGCCATGCCTCAAGATCATACACATTGACCCCATATGCCCAAGCACATGCGCCAGGATCGAACCGCTCCTGCACGATGGCCTGCGTGAAGTTGAGATACTTGCTATATCTCCTGAATCCACCGAAGCACATCTCGACGGCACCATTCACCTTCCCATCCAAGTCGAGATGCCAGAGCCCAGCCAAATCCTTCTGCACCACCACATCATCCTCCAGGAGCACCACCCTCTGCAGTGCCGGGAACATGTCTGGGAGGTAGAACCTCAGGTAATCGAGCAATGCCACGTCCCTCTTGCCGGCCTCGATCTGCCTGAGCACCGGCGAGGAGGTCTCGTTGAGGAACGGGAAGTCGGAGTAGGCGAGGAGCTGGACGTGCACGCCGAGCGGCGGCGGGCGGCGGGCGAACCAGACGCGGAATGCCGGCAGGTACATGGGCGCGGTGACCACGTGGAAGACGTGGCGCGAGGGGTCGGCCGCGGCGCGCGCGGCGGAGGCCACCACGACGGAGACGGCGAGCACATTGTCGGAGAACACGGCGTAGTGGTACAGCGAAGGGTCGTCGAACTCCGGGGACGGGTCGGGGTCGTCGGCGAAGGCGGAGGGCTTGGCGAGGCGGGCCTCGAGGAGGCGCATGGCGAGGCAGTGGAGGGACTTGGGGGTGGAGCCCGCGGCGATGCGGGAGGACATGCGGCCCGCGCGGCGGGCGCGGGCCAGATGCTCGCCGACGGCGAACACCGTGTCGGAGAGCTTCTGGATCTTGGACTGCGTGTCGAACCCTTCCTTGGCGTCGGCGGCGAGGAGGCGGGCGAGCTTGATGCGGTCGCGCGCCTCCTTCTCCAGGGGCTTCACCGCGTCCTCCGGGAGGGAGAGGTGGGAGGCGAGGCGCGACGAGAGCGCCGACAGGTCGGACGACATCGTGGCGAAGGACAGCGACTGCGCCGCCGACGCCTCCTTGAGCCTCCGCGCGTGCGCGGCGTACGCGGCCAGCACCGCCGCGTGGTCCGCCGCGTGGCGTCGGATGGCGGCGAGGCGGGACGGCGGCGATGCGCCGAGGTAGGAGGAGCGGTGCGAGGCGTGCGTCGGAGGCGGCGAGGATAGGAGGAACGAGAGCGTCGCCAGCAGGAGCAGCGTCAGGAGCGCCGCGAACGCCGCGCGGCGCGGCGCCGACGGCCGGAACGCGCGGCCGCCGGCCATCGGAGCAGTGGAGGGGAGGGGGACTGGAGTGGGAAGCGCGTCGCGGATCTGAGACTGATGAAGGAGACGGGTGGGCCCGCGGTGTCAGTGGGCGCGGGGTCGGGTATCCCGGCGTAAACAGTGGGTGGGCTTGTCGGTGAGGTTAGATTTACTAGGTTATTTGTTTATAGGATGTTATTATTGGTGGATTAAGTCGTGGGTTTAATTAAGGTGGGGACATTATTAATCATTTGATTAACTGACTGACTGGTGGGGGCACCGTTGGATTCATGAGAAGGTGATTCGTGTCAATGACATGTGGGGCTCGTTACATTGGGTCCACTTGTCAGTGAGGTATTAAGATTGGGAGTAGTTGGTTTAGGTGGGAGTATGCATGGGAGCAAGATCCGGCCAGGCTGGATAGATATCGGGAGTCAAGACAGACATTCTAATCGCAATTTTAGAATAGATCAAATTCGATCATAAGATTAGTTCTAAACTACGTACCGTGTCGACGACACTCGACAGTGGATAGTCAACGCGGTTCCCCTGCTCTACTCCACTGAATTTTGCTCCATTTTGTTCTATTGAAACATAAATAAACATTAACAATTCTTTGACAATGGCTAGCTGAACAATTGATCTAAGGGTGATCGAAGGCCGAAAACATAGCCAACCTATACATAAATGTTGTTACGATCTGACCGTTAATTAGTTTTGCTTACTCTAATACAATTGTAACGTATTCGGTACTCCCTCTATCCCAAAATATAGCAACTTTTGGATGGATATGACATATCATAGTAATATGAATTTGGACAGGCCTCTTATCCATATTCGTAGTATTAGAATATGTCGCATCCAACCAAAAGTTGCTATATTTTAGGACGGAGGGAGTATATACATAGAAAACATCCTTCTTTGACCAAGACATCGATACACTTATCTAATACGAGAGGGTGGACCAGAATACGACATGTGTACTCGGTCCCCCAGCGATGTAACTTGCAATGTAGGTTGGCGAGGCTGACTGATAGGATAGATCCACGTGTAGAGATCGCAAATGTGCCACCCTTGCAGAGGTTTTGGCCAGTTGCGATGCCCCTAGGGTGCAGGGATAGGCTGAGACTAGCCGATGAAGGGATGTCTTTACATTGACGATACAGTGGAAGCTCCATGAAAGCAATGAGGCTAGGGTGACAATTTTGAGTGCAATGATCCCTCTAGACGGCGTTGTCAAGGTGGCTCGCTCTCCCTTCCACCGGTCATTTCAGGGTGAAAACCATATGTTCAGTTTTCCTTTTACGGGCGATGGTGGTGCTATGGTGTTGTATCTTTATTGAAGGCGTTGTCTTGGAGGATCTGTTTTTGCCTTCCGTTTTCAGACAGTTGAGCCTATGTTTTTGGATGACGACGGTCCGTTCTTTCTCACACTCTCCCTCTGCAACCCCTCTCGGTTGTCTGGTAGACTTTGGTATTTATCGTCTTTTGGCGTGTTGGGTTGTTCAGTTTTGGATCTGCCATGGCTCTAGTGATGTCTGATCTGGCTTAATTGTAGTCAGTGTGGTGCTAGTCCTTTGGTTCGTATAGACATTATCGATGTGTGATGGTGATTTTGTTTTACTTTTCTTGATTAAAGTCTTATGTTTTCTTTTTATCTCCTATATCAATATAAAACATCACAATATCTCCTAATGTTAAAAAACAAGTAAATTGTACATTGGATCACCTAGTCCACCTCTTAACCCATCTTTTCACTTCAGACAACCCCTTTCTTGCCTTTTGTTTCACTAGCATATTAGAGTAAGTTTAATAGTATAGCTCACTACTAGCTCCAATTAATCTATAGCCAATCTAATAGTCAATTCATACAATAGTTGCTCACTATACTATTAATATATGGTCCCACATGTCATACACACATCGCGTCTTGGAGTCCGTGCTACAGCTGACTACAGATCTATAGCCCGCTGCTCTTCTCTCTCATCTTTTATCTTATTAAAATATGTTTATAGCTGGCTAATAATCTGCTATTGTACCTACTCTTACCCATGCGTTGCAATAGGATTTTAATCAATGAAAATTACCATTAACCTCGTTATTACCATTATTCTTTGTCTACATCTCTTAAAAAGTTAGGGAGTTGGTACTGGTGGAGGTTGTAGATTCAGCTCTCACCACCACCACTATTCCTTTTTAAAGGAGTATAGATTTTGGACCCTTACTGTCCTCTAGCTCTCCTATCTATTTCTTGGCATAGAGCTAGATATAAGCTGCTAATCTCCTCACAAGTTAGTTATAAGTTATCAGCAAACCAGGACATGTTGAAGTTGGAGAAGAAGAATGAGGTTGAAGATGAAACAAACGGTAAGAAATGATAGTCTAAAGGGAAAAATACAGGTTAAGAGATAGTCCAAATGATGGTCTAGAATGAAATTCACTTTTTAGAAAAGGAAAAGTACGAATTACCCCCTAAACTCTTGTGACAGTACGAATTACCCCCCTGAACCACAAAATCAGACATATTACACCTTGAACTATTGATACCGGATGAATTACCCCCCGGACTCAATCCTGAGCGGTTTTTCTCCTACGTGGCATACACGTGGCGCCGATGTGGAAATCCAATCAGCAAAAAGAAATAAAATAAAATAAAGGGCCCACCTGCCATTACCTCTCTTCCCCCTCCCCCCTCTCTCTCTATCTCTCTCTCTCGGGTATGCGTGAACGGGCAGTGGGCGGCGTCGGCGGCGCGTGGATGGGCGGTCGGCGTGCAGGGGCCGGCGGGACATGTGGCACGCCGGGCGGCGGGCGGCGCGGAGGAGGCGAGGCGGTGGCGGAGGAGGCGAGGTGAGGAGGTGGCGAGGTGGCCGGCTCGTCAAGCTCACTATTAGGGCCTCGTCCTCTTGCGATTAGGGGAGTGACGGCTAGCACCGGACTTGCGACAGGGGTGAGGGGGCGGTGCGAGCGGCGACCGTGGAGGCGAGGGCGGAGACCTGGGCGACTGCGATGAATGGTGCCGCCGCAGCATCCCGTCCCCGTCCACCGTCTGTCCCCGCACGCCCCGGCGCACCCTCCCGCCCACCCCCGTGCGCCGTCGTCCACCGTCCGTCCTTGCGCGCCCCGCCGCAGCCTCCCGCTCGCCTGCCACGCCCGCCCCCGCACGCCACCATCCACCGCCCGTCCCTGCGCACCGCCATCCACCGCCCACCCCCACGCGCCGACATCAACCGCCCGTCCCTGCGCGCCCCGCCGCAGCCTCCTGCCCCCGAGCTTGCTCCGCCTCCACCTCCACCGCTGGCCACCCGAGCTACCGCTGCCACCCCGAGGTCAAGTGGTGCCACGGTCAACGGCGAGGAGGTTGGGGACGGGGAAGCCACTGTCGGTCACCCGAGCTCGCTCCATCTCTGTCGTTGGCCCCGCGCTCCTCCCCCACCCCTGTCTCCAGCACAGCGATGTCCTCCGCCGACGAGCGTGTGCGCGGCGACGCCTCTCTCGTCTCTGCCTCCATTCTGGGCGCTCTCGTGCTCCTCCTCCGTGGCGAGCGTGTGCGCTGGTTGGCCACCGCTGCGAGCTCGCCGTGGAGGCGGCGAGATCGGCGGCGAGCTCCGCTACCTGCCTTGATGCGCCAGAGATGAGAGAAGGGAAGGGGGCAAAGAAGAGGGGGAGAAGAGGAGGATTGGGCTGACAGTGGGCCCCACCATATTTATTTGTTGTGGCTGACAAGTGGGTCCCATATATTTTTCTTTTGTTTTGGCTAACCGGACTGCCACGTGTGCGTCCACGTAGGACCGAAACCACCCTGGATCGATCTAGGGGGTAATTCGTCCGGATTATAAATTTCAGGGTTAAAAATAACTAGTATTGGAGTTCAGGGTTAAAAATCGAATGACGTAATTGTTGAGGGGGTAATTCGTGGAAAAAGATCTTGTAGGCTTATCAAACAGACCAGCTTATACTCGATGCATGAATATTTTAGGATCGGATACCAACTCCACTACTCGACTAGAGTAATCAACAAATTAAAACATTTTCTTGCCGAACAAGCACAGCCACGTCGAAAGATTTCCATTCTAACACCATACACGTGCCTCCCTTATAGCATTCCAATTTCAATTGCAAAAACCAAATCCATTTCTTAATCCGCAAGAAGATCAGCATCCGCAAGAATATATATTCATCGATGAATTTATCATCCATGGACAAGTAGAAGAAACTCACAGCAACTCACCAGCACAGTAGACGAAGATCACAAGCATGGCGATGACGACGGCGGCGGTGGCGGCGGCGGCGCAGCCCAAGGAGGTGAAGCTGTACGGCGCGTGGGGCAGCGCGCACGCCGCCATGGCCAGGAACGCGCTGGAGCTCAAGGGCGTGCGCTACGAGTACGTCGAGGAGGACCTCGAGCGCAAGAGCGAGACGCTGCTGCTGCGCCTCAACCCCGCCCACGCCGGGAAGGTCCCGGTGCTGGTCGTCGTCGACGACGACGGCGGCGGCGGCGGCTGCCCCCTCGCCGAGTCGCTCGTCATCCTCGAGTACGTCGACGAGGTGTGGCCACAGGCGCCGCGGCTGCTTCCGCCGCCGTCGTCCCCGCGCGCTCGCGCCGCGGCCAGGTTCTGGGCGAGGTTCTTCCACGGCGAGGTGTCGCCGCTGTCGCGCGCGGCGGCGGTGCTCGCGCCGACGCCGGAGGAGCGGGCGGAGGCGGTGCGGGAGATGAAGGCGCGGATGGCCGTGATGGAGGCCGGGTTTGAGAGGGACTTCCCGTCGTCGGTCGTCGGCGGCCCGTTCGTGCACGGCGCGACGCCGGGGCTGCTCGACGTGATACTGGGCTCCTGCGCCGCCGGGACGAGGGCGATCTCCGCCATGGCCGGCGAGGAGGTCGTGGAGCCGGACGCGCTGCCGCACGTGCACGCCAGCATGGCCGCGTTCGACGAGCGCGTCGCAGGGTTCGGGACCAGCGTGCCGCACGAGCTCCTCCTCGCGCGGCTGCTCGAGAGGGAGGAGAGGCGGCGCGCCGCCGCGTCGGCGTCGGCGTGAAAACGTCTTCGTGTACCGACATGAGGATGAACGCACACGCATGCTTTGTACCCCTTCCGCCATAAATTATTCGTCATTTTGATTTGTTTTAGTTATAACGTTGGATTATCCGTCTTATTTAAAAATTAGTATAAATATAAAAAAGATAAATCATAGTTAATATACTTTTAATAATAAAGCAAGTCACAAATAAAATAAACTAGCTGGGTGGCCCGTGCAATTACGCGGCTAGCACCTAAACAAAATCATATATTTTTCAGTATGATTTTACTTCAAATTTATTAAATAGCTATGTCGTTGTCTTAAAATTTTGAAAGACCAAACCTTACCATCCCTGTATTTCTAATTATATAGTTTTCAAAAGTCACGCCAGCTGCTACCCCTTACTTCTGTCATATCCTTCTTTATTTGCTTGCTCGATCTACCACTATTTCTATTCATTCACCTTGAAACCTCTAAAAATTAAATCTTATAGTTTTTAGAGTTTATTGTTTCGTTGGGTTTCGTTTTTATAATTTCTATAAGTCCCGTCAAACGCTGTCATTATACTTCTCTACGACCCGTTCACTGTCTTTTCTCTTTATTGTTATTGGGATTTTAAAAATCAAACATAATTATTGTTTGGGTTCATTTTTTACTTTATAGAAGTCCAGCCAAACCATCAGCGGCTTTGCCATTGTACTCCTTTTGTGGCTCGCCCGCTACCTCCCTATTTTATTGTCACAGAGTTTAAAATCGAACATGATTATCATTGGGTTTTTTTTACTTTTTAGAAGTTCCGAACATATAAAAATTTTCTCCTTGTAGTTTTTAGAGTTTATTGTCTTGTTGGGTTTCATTTTTTATAATTTTTAGAAGTCCCGTCAAACGATGCCTGTATACTCCTCTACAGCCCATCCGCCGCCTACTCTTTATTATCATTGAGATTCTAAAAATCGAACATATCTATCATTGGAATTCATTTTTTATTTTCTAGAAGTCTTGCCAACCATTAGTGGCTCTGCAACTACACTCCTATACACCCCACGCTCTGTTTCTCCTTTTTATTGTCATTAAGAATTTAAAAATCAATTATAATTATCAATGGGATTTATTTTTTTACTTTCTAGAAGTTCCAGCAACCGCCTTGCCCGTCAGCTTTACGGCCTGCCTGTCGTTCCTCATTTTAATCGTCATTAGGATTCTATTTGATGTTTTATTAACAGTTTTTATATGTTGTATCAACCGCCACCACACTACTCCTTTATAGGCCTGTTACTTATTTTATCTCATCATGTGTTTTAGATGGTCTTTTTTTTTCAATAGTCTATTTCTTATCACCAATTTTAGTTATTTATAAATTGTATTCCTAATTGAAATCTATTTTATTTTTCTAATTTCAGAATTTATTTTTTATTTTTGAATTTAAGTTGTTTCAAAATTGTATTCCTACTTGAACTCTCTTTTAATTTTTTTACTTTCTAGAAGTTCCAGCAACCGTCTTGCCCGTCAGCTTTACGGCCTGCCTGTCGTTCCTCATTTTAATCGTCATTAGGATTCTATTTGGTGTTTTATTAATAGTTTTTATATGTTGTATCAACCGCCACCACACTACTCCTTTATAGGTCTGTTATTTATTTTATCTCATCATGTGTTTTAGATGGTCTTTTTTTTCAATAGTCTATTTTTTATCACCAATTTTAGTTATTTATAAATTGTATTCCTAATCGAAATCTTTTTTATTTTTCTAATTTCAGAATTTATTTTTTATTTTTGAATTTAAGTTGTTTCAAAATTGTATTCCTACTTGAACTCTCTTTTAATTTTTTTACTTTCTAGAAGTTCAAGCAACCGTCTTGCCCGTCAGCTTTACAGCCTGCCTGTCGTTCCTCATTTTAATCGTCATTAGGATTCTATTTGGTGTTTTATTAACAGTTTTTATATGTTGTATCAACCGCCACCACACTACTCCTTTATAGGCCTGTTACTAGGGATGGCAATTCTGCCCGTTTGCCCGTTTACCCGTGGGTAAAAACTCTATTAGGGTTGGGTTTGTTCTCCATTTTATACCCATGGGTATCTTATTGGGTCAAAAGCTATGCCCGATAGGTAAATGGGTATGTGTATGGGTAATCACTACCCATGCCCGTTTTGCCCGTTTACCCGTAAAGTCTAACTTACATGTAGGCGAGGAGCAAAATCCACTAGAATACATAAGCCATGTTCTTTGTTTTCTACGGTTTCCCTTTTATTTTCCTTATTATTTCTCTTCCCCTTACTCTATCGCCGCCAGAGGAGAGACACCACATTGAGACGGAGAATATTTGATGTTTTAAGTTCGATTCGAACTTAGAAGCTTGTAGACTTGTTGTTCCACTGCTTTTGTTGTGTCGGGTAAACGGACACGCCCGTGGGCACAAGGCGCCCGCTGGCAATGGGCATGGGCAATCATCCTTACCCGTCATGTAGTAATGGGTATACCCACGGGCACAAATAATCTCATGGGCACAGGTATGGGTAGGCACTACCCGTGCCCGTCGCGCCCGATTGCTATCCCTATCTGTTACTTATTTTATCTCATCATGTGTTTTATATGGTCTTTTTTTTTTCAATAGTCTATTTTTTATCACCAATTTTAGTTATTTATAAATTGTATTCCTAATTGAAATCTTTTTTATTTTTCTAATTTCATAATTTATTTTTTTATTTTTGAATTTAAGTTGTTTCAAAATTGTACCTACTTGAACCCTCTTATAATTTTTCTAATTTTGGATATTATTTTAATTTTCATTCTCAATTTTAATTAATCTCGTAGTGGGCTCTTATATGGATTCTTCTTTCAATATTGCTTATTTTTAATTCCGAATTTTAGTTAATTTTAAATTGTATTCCTACTTGAACTCTTGTTTTCTTTTTTCCAATTTTGGATTTTATTTTTATTTTTATTCCGAATATTAATTAGTCTCGTGTTGTGTTCTTATATCGACTCTTCTCTCAATATTCCTTATTTTTAATTCCGAATTTCAGTAATTTTAAAATTGTATTCCTACTTGGACTCTCATTTTCTTTTCTAATTTCGGATTTTATTTTATTTTTATTTCGAATTTAGATTAATCTTGTATTGGGTTCTTATATGGACTCTTCTCTCAATATTGCTTATTTTTAATTCTGAATTTCAGCTATTTTTAAATTTTATTTCTACTTGGACTCTCATTTTCTTTTTCTCCGATTAATGTGAGAATTTCTAGCCCCCACAACGAACGTGGTACCTCCTTTCAAAGCCATTTTAATAATATAATAGATAACAATTTTATAATCTTTTGAATAAGACGAATAGTTTAAATGTTTAAAAAAACTCAAAATGAACGATGGATATCTATCCACCAAATAAAGTTTATTCCGGTTTCGATGAATATCCATCCAGGGTTTCCCAAACCGCCGGAGCCGGGGTTACCGCGCCCCGGCGGTAAGCACGGTTACTGCGCGGTAACCGCGGTAACCGTGAAAACCGTATGAAACTGCGCAAAATTTATCAAAAAAATAAATTATTTTTTAAATTTATTTGAATTTAAGGAGGTTACCGCGGTATTTATATTACCGTACCCCCGCGGTAAGCCCGGTAACCACGGTAACCGCGCGGTTACCGGCGGTAAGTCGATCCCTAATCCATCCATCCGACTTGCCTCCAGATCAGCGTTCCAAGGTGATCTAATATCTCAGTTTCAAACAATAAAATTTATTATTCTAGTTTCGATGATTATCCATCCGATTTGTTGCATATTTGGAAGAGTTTCTAGCTGCTGTAGCTTCTCGTAAAATCAGAAGCTACATCAAATAATTCAGCATTTGGTCTAAATTCGAAGAATCCATAGTTATAGAATCTAGAAAATGAACTAGAACCCAGACCCAGAAGCTGGAAAACCCAACCTTTTTATATTCTCTGAAACTGGCTACCAACCAGTTCTTGCTTAGAATTTTAAGTTTTCCAAACATGCCCTTGATTTCAGTATAAGCTCATAGTGCTAGCGCAACCAAGCTGTCAAATAGTTTTCCATTCGGTTTTGATCGTCACATTTGTTATGGGCAGCGAGACTACGAAAATAACGCGGGCGTGATCAAACTTCATAACTCTGCATCGATATTCAGTCCTGGAGTCGCTTTGGTAATTGGTCTTCCCGCTCCATGTTCTTCGATCCTACATGCACTCCCACAGCTGTCCAATACAGGATTTGCTGGCCCAGTCTTCGAAAATGTTTATAGGGGTAGGATTTACGCGCGTGCATTCATAGGGGTGAGTGTGCGTGCGTTGTGAGTGTCTGTATTGTTCAGTGTAATTCTAAAAAAAAATACATGCAGCCATGCAAGAAACAAATAAGATATCAATGGGGTAGTTGAGAGAAATATGCTGCTGATCACATTTTATTATAATATAATTGCATTTGAAAGTTTTTTAACCAAATAAATTGCAGAATGTTGCATACCTATACACCCTAAATTGATCATGAATCAGATGCAAATAAATTTTAAATAAGTGGTGGGCTTAGAAGACGGCCTTTGTTTCCCATAGAGCCGGCCCAAAGCAGCCAGTCGCCACTCTCGTGTTTAATATTGGGCCAAAAATAGTGAGTTCCTGTTGGACGTCGGGCCCTTTCGGCCGATGCATGTGGTGATATGGGCCAATTGCTTCAGATAAGATGACGGCCTGGGCAGTCTGGGTATCAACTAGCCATCAGCCATGCAGCAAGGCCGAAAGTTAACATTTCTGATTTCTGTGTGGTAAACTAGCCCAAAACACACACACACAACCTTTTCTATCATTTGTCTACTATTTTGAAAACGGAGTCATCCTCTTGCACCCCTTTCCCACCGTAAGTGTCATCCGGTACTTTTCTTAGGTAACCACAAACCGAGCCAATCCCGAAATATATATCTGACCCGTGCAGTGTTTTATTCTTAATTCACCCACCCAGTCAATCTTCAATTGTATGAGCTTGATCCATTACAATGTATATGTGCAAATCATATTCTTTTTTCCGATTACATGGAACAAGAACACGAACAAGCGCCATTTATAGAATTTGCAATTAATCAAACCGTGAAACTAAGCAGTATCCTGCCCACTAGGAAATTGGCTCGAATCAAATTGGCTCGAGTCAATCGTAGAACTTTTTTTTCCGATTATATTATATGGAAAACGCATACATAAACACATGCGCATCCAAATCAATCATAGAATTTGTAAACAAAGTGCGTAGAAACTGAATAGTATCCTCATTACAAGTACCAACACACATGGATAGGGACTGTCTTGCAGTACTGTCTATACAGTGGTTGTCGCTGACATCCAAGTCCCAGCATGATGGCTTGAATTATTATATGGGTTTGCATATCATCCGAGTCATTTGCAGATGTTTTCTTTATGAAATGGAAGGCTTATGTGCACTCAAATCAATAGGACAATTTGCAACTGAAATGTGTAGAAACTAAAAAGTATGCTCACCAAAAGACCATTGACTTGAAAGCTTTTCAGATCCTCAAAGCTCTTGCCCTTCTTAAAAAAAAAACCATTGACTTGAATCATATCATATCATATTAAATCTTTAGTTTTTGTGACCCACTACCAACAGTGAATCGACGATTCTCAGCCCAGAAAGCCTGCTACAGTACTACAGGACCTCACCCTTGATGCACCGTCCGGGACGATGTCCACGGGTTCATCGATCCATCCGTCTACGCCTCATAGCCGCATCACCCCGATCCCCTCCGTCATCGCTCCTAACCAATCAGCGCACCCATCGTCCCAAAATCCCCAAATCTTCATCGCCTCCTCGTGAGGTTCGTCGGCGCCGACACCGCCTTCTTGCGGAGCCTGCGGCCAGCGTCGCCGCTTTCTTGTCGAGCCAGCGAGGGAAATCGCGGCGCCATCTTCGCCGCCCTCGCCGGACCAGCGTCGCCACGGAGCTAGCCGGCGGCATCTGCCTTCTCACGGAGCCATCGGGCAAGCGCCGCAGCCGACCGCCGCCCTCGTCTCTTCGGCGATCCAGCAGCTGCCGCCGCCTTTCGTCTGGTACGCACTCCTTCTCCTCACGGACAGGGAATGCATGCAGGTTACTGCTGTCTCCAAATCCACATACTCTACTTAATTTTCTTACTGAACCGGCCAATTTCACTCAGCTAGCTGCTAACGGTTGTCCAACTAGCTCGATCCCTGTCCGTGCTGCTCCGTATCCTCTTTCATTCGTCAATTTCAGGTATATATCCATATAAAGTAATCTTAACGAAAGATAATCTTATAAAGAGAAATTGGAGGGGAAACAAGCAATGTTGTTTTTTAATACATAAGAGACCATCCAACATTTTTTTTTTGACTGTCATGTTGCACATTTTGCTTGGCGATGTGTCTTCTTTGCCTTCAACATCCCCCTCCCCACAATGTAAAAGATATTTTTGGTGACCAGTTAAGGGGAGTGCCTAGACAAAAAAAAAAACGATTTTGTTTGGAGCTAGTGCTTTATGTTGGTCAATTTGGCGTTGCCGTAATGATATAGTTTTTAACCATAAAAAAATGCCTAACATCATGCAAGTTATCTTCATGTGTTCCAATTGGCTCCACTCTTGGTGTATGATGCTTTCACAGGAATAACAGGATACTATGCGCAATGGTGCTACACGCTTGGAATTAGTAGTTAAGGAACTTTTATTCCAGTTTGGATGGCGTAGTACCTACAGAATTTCGTGATAGTATCTATGTGATTTTGAAAAAAATATTATTTTAGTAGATCATATCATCGGCATAAGTTGGGGGTTTGTCCCATCTGGCTAGTTATATATGTATGCATGCATCCAAGTCAATTATTGATTTTTTTTCGATTACATAGGGCTCCACCGTTTGGCCTAATAAGCTAAAACCAAAATCAAAATTTGATTTTTAAACTTAATTTTGAAGTTAATTTTAAGATATTTCAACATAGTTTTTTTATATTAGCTTTTAAATCACTAAAAACATATATACAAAAGTTTTACATACAAATTAATTTTTTATTTCCTAATAAGCTATTTTGGCTTATTAGGGAACATGTGTAACAGGTGAGGCTAATAGAAAACACAAACGTACATGCATCAATCATAGAATTTACAACCAAAGTGCGTAGAAACTAAATAGTATCCTCGCCACCAGTGGAATGGCTTGAATTATACTATCTGTTTTTTAATAGATGACGTCATTGACTTTTTATCACACGTTTGACAATTTGTGTTATTAAAAAAATTATGTAATTATAATTTATTCCGTTGTGAGTTGTTTTAGCACTCAAAATACTTTAAACATGATATATATCTTATACATTTATATAAATTTTTTGAATAAAACGAATGGTTAAACATATATTCGAAAGACGGCATCATCTATCAACTAAGGAAGTATGTGCTTGCACATCTATCCTGAGTCAATCATATATGTTTTTTTTACGATTACACGAAAGGCACATACGTATCCAAATCGGTCGTAGAATTTGCTACCAAACTACGTAGAAACTAAATAGTATATATCCTGATCACTACCAGTGGATTGAAAGGCTTGAATTATATGTGTTTGCACATCCATACTGAGTCAATCATATATGTTTTTCTTTTACGATTACACGAATGGCACATACGCACCCAAATCGATCATAGAATTTGCTACCAAAGTGCGTAGAAACTAAACAGTATCCTCACCACTAGCAAAGAAATTGGCTAATTTCTTTGAACAAAGTTTATATATATGTACGTGGTTTCTCAAAACGAACAAACTCCACGGTTAGTTTGCTGTTGGCCTGCTAAGACCAACACCAGGAGAGAAGAAAATGGTAATGGGGATTGCTTTCAGAAAATGGCAACAACAATGGAGATGCAGGTCAGTATCATGGAGATACATCCATATATACTAGCTGCGTGTCGAATAAGATGACAGCTTCTGATTCGAGCTAAGTGGGCTTTACCGAAGTATAAATCACCTACACACAAACGCATGACAAGCTAAAGTAGTGGCTTAGAATTAATCAGTCTCCATCTGTGGACCAGAGAGTGTATCAAGTACCAGGTAATTTAGCCCATCAATGGTTAATCTATATTAAATTTTTTACTTTCTTTGGAAAAGAGAGGCGCACTTATAGTTCCTTGCTGTTGGAACCGGGAACATTTGGATCTGTGGACGAGATCATATCCTACCTACAAAAAATAAATAGAGAGCAAAGCTAGACTAACAGCCAGTTCAATTAAAATATTATGGTAGCACCTTTAGAGACAAAGTTTACGCATATGAGAAATCATTAAGTTTGTGTTTCAAAAGTTCATGTCATTTTCTTAATTGTGGGAAAACACTGCAACAATCTTCTTTTTATATATAGTACATATTGACATGTTCTTCTAGAAGTCTCCGCATTAATCTTTGAAAGATAAAAGGCTGGAAATTTCTATGAAAAGGTGAAAAAAAGAAACTCACGCATTGATCAAATAAAGAAAATTAAAAAGTATACCTGAACCGTTACATGTGACATCCTAACTAAAAAAACAGAGCATCTTTCGCTTGTGAGGTGCACACCATTTCGTACAGCTAAAAAGCTTACCTACAAAAATCCTGGTAAAAAAACTTTATGAGATTCTTAGTCTGGAAACAAAACGGCCAGTATGAACTAGAGGCTAATAATAAACGGGCTAAATGTATATGCTTGCCTCCATATGAATTGGAGAAGCAAAACATGAGGCCCAAAATGCATATTCCAATCTTTTTGTTCCATCTAATTATAAAGCTAGACGCACTAACCCATGCCCTATCAAATCCAGCAGAGTTGTACTGGACTTGCCATGCCACCCTCTTTCCTCCTACTTTCATTTGGCTTAATCAGCTAATTAATCTCACTTAATTATCTTGGGTTGATTAGTAACATAAATATTATTACTTATGTCAAACCATGTCTGAACTCTGAACCCTGACTTTCCAAAGTCACCTTAATTGTGGTGAAGGAAAATGACAGAAGGAAGCTGCGTGTGCTCCCTGCTTTTCACATTATTTTTTACCAGCAGTAATAAACCTATCAATGATAAAAAAATTTCCAAGATTCCAGACACCACTTCAGGAGACCTCCATTGGAACACACATCACAAAGGTGATCCCATGAGTAAACAAGCACTATATATACATGAGACATCCCTAATAGAAAATGACCCGATGGAGACCTGAGTTTGTAGTAGTGCGCTTGTGATCCATGCATCAATCATTAATTTGGACTTTACATCCTAAGGTCCGAAATAGCACAAGGCCAAAATTTTCTGGATATATACGATCTGTTATAGTAACCATTCTACATGGATAAACAATTAACCTGCATTTTCTTAATGCGTCTCATTGACATGTAGGTCCAACCAACCAATATATGCTGCAATTAGCACATAGATTAACCAGTGATTCCATGACATTCCATGGAACGCAAGTTAAGTTTATGCGAAATTAAAGGAGTACAAATTTGAGTAACATCATTGTATAAGAATTTTAGTATATTAAATTTAAAAATAAATTTAATTTATGATATTTTTATATGAAATGCTATAAAGTGTGAATAGGGGAAAGTCTTAATTAGGGCACATGCCTAGTATAGTTAAAGATAAAACAACCACTTCAATGACATCATTCTCCGTAAATTCTTATTCTTACTCTGGCCGTATTTAGTTCACCCTCAACTACCCTAAACTTCTAACTTTCCATCACATCACATCACATCCAAAACTTTTCTACATATATAAACTTCTAATTTTCCTCAAACTTTTAATTTTTTTTAGGAATTAAACACAGCATATGGTACTCCTAGTTAGCATCACTACTTCACTCCCCAAAATATGAAACGCACGAGAGATATTAAAAAAAAAGAATCAAGAAAGCTACCAATATATGGATTGTTTAGCTTTCTGGACGGTGGCTGCGCCGCAATCAACAAAAACAGTTAAGCAAGCACCACAGCGGGCTATGTAGCCATAGCACCACCTGTGTAACAGCCTCATCTACTTTTTTTTTTCTCCCTAGCCATTGGTTATACGTGGGCCCACTCATTTTTAATGGCTTTGGAACCGATGCAAGTTGATTCTCAAATCTTTGCTCCTAGCTAGCTTCGCCTTCTCAAGTGGTTGGAATTGATAAAACACAATCTCTCTTCTTGCTTGGTACGGTGAAATCATTTGCGAGACATGGCCTTATAATCTTTAGTCCCCCTAACCATGCATCCACAATACAAATATTTTTAGAATCCATGCATATACAATGAAATGCTTTAGCAAAATCTATGGTTGAACTCTTTTTATGCGGTGGATATGCATGGTTAGTACACTTGAAACACAGATTCTCATAGGAATTCCCTATAGGAACATAAATATTTTTTCCTTCATACCAATTCATAAATTAACATACACTCATTTGTTGTGGGGGTCATCCCCTGCCAATAAGCTGGGACCCATTGTAAACCTTTCAATATGGCATTCCACCACAGTACACAATACTACCACAATCATCCATCCATCCGGCAGCACACGCACACACGCACATCAACAGTACACCTCTCATCCGATCGAGAGTCTCAATCTGCAGTTGAGAGTGCATGGGTCCAGCCCCGGCCGGTGATCGATCACACATCAACAGTGCAGACACAAACGCGACACACGAACACCTGAACAGGACACCGATCGACGAAGAGCCCACATAATTCTTTCCAAGTGCAACACACACATCGTGACCACTATTAGAGCAGGTACAATAGCATACTATTAGCCAGCTATAAACATATTTTAATGATATAAAAGATGAAAAAGAAAAGCAGCGGGCTACAAATCTGTAGCTAGCTGCAGCACGAACTCCAAGAGACAGTGTGTGTATGACATGTGAGACCATATATTAATAGTATAGTAAGCAACTATTGTATGAATTGGCTATAGATGAATTGGAGCTAGTAGTGGGCTATACTGTTAAACTTGCTCTTAGAGCAGGTACAATAGCAGGCTATAAGCTAGCTGCAAACATATTTTAATGAGATAAATAAGGAGAGAGAAGAGCAGCGGGCTACAGATTTGCAGCCAGCTGTAGCACGGATTCTAAGACGCAATGTGTGTATGATAGGTGAGACTAGGTATTAATAGTATAGTATGCAACTATTGTGTGAATGAGCTATTAAATTGACTATAGATAAATTGGAGCTAGCAGTTGGCTATACTATTAAACTTGGTCTTAGCGGGGCTCTCATCGATCAGCTCGATCGATCGATCATGGTGGTGGACGGGGTTGCACTAGCTATAGCTCTAGCTAGTTCGATGCGGCGCGGCCGGCGGGTAGACGACGGCGACGGATCATATCATCGCCTGCGTGTGCATGCCGGCCGGCGAGCGTGACGGTGACTGTACATGCATCGATCGATGTGTGTGTGTGTTTTTTCCATGTGGGTTTCTTTAGTTTTTGGGCGCAGTGCGTGTGCTTGCGTTGCTAGTGATGCGCGAGAGGCCTACTGCTATAGCTTTTATTAGCTATAGATCTCCATGGTGGCATGTAGCTTTCGGGGGACGAATATATGTATGTAATCGATTTGATCGAGTTTATGGTGAAGACTATACATGCGTGGCGTGGCGTGCCGAAGTGATCATATGGATGTGCCTTTCAAGATGATTCATGTATTTTAGGCTCAGCTTGAAAGCTCATTTAGCTATTGCAATACAACTTTTTCTCGTTTATCATGAGCACGCTTCTAACTGCTAATATAAATGATGTATTTTTGCACAAAACTTTTTATATAGAAGTTTTTTTAATAAAAAATCAAACAAACCCATTTTCCATAATTGTAATACTTAATACTTAATTA